AAGCTATGAACCTCAGAAGTGAAAACATATGTGAATTCCAGATATATAAGATTTGAAATTACAAAAGTACAGTAACTCACCAGTTAAACGAATAACAGTAAAGAATCAAAATTCCACAAGAACCCAGAATCTCAATGCGTCAAAGTTCCCAAGAGCTTTGAAAGAACTCCAGGCAATGCTCGCACTAAGAGGAGGTTGAGTAACAAGGTCTTAGTGGCCTTGGCTTTCAGCCGGCCAAAACAGAATATAGAATAAGAGAATAGCAAAAGCCCTAATTTTAGTGAAGAATATGTCGATTAAAGTCTGTCTCGAAGGGGAATAGGGAGGGGTTTATATAGCAGTAAAAATTAAACGACTACACAAGGAAACGGAGTAAATCGAACAAAAAATAAGGAAAGAAATCATGCAAAATCATTTCAAAATCAATTTAGGAGAAAAATCGGGTAAACCCTAGTTTTTTTAGGGAAAGTGTAAATCAACAGAGATCTAAATGAAATCGGACTCACATAATATGGTATTGAACGTATCTAGACGAAATAATGCTCAAAATCAAAGATTCGAATCATGTTCGATTTTAGAAGGTATTGCTTGTCATGTATAGGCAAGCACCTAGGTAACACCACAAACGGACAACCAGTACCAAAAGATTTCAACTATAGCAAGAGAATAGTAGTCGAATCCCATTATCAGTGGGATTAGGAGAGGGATTAAGGGGAGGCGGCTAGGGTTTAGTTAAGAGGAGATGAGTGACAGAGGGAATAGAGGCGGCTATCTTTAGGAAATGGGGTTAGGGTTAGGTTTTGGGGATATAAGGAAAGGGAGTGGGGTGTTGTGGGCCGTTGATCGCTTTTGATCAACGGTTGAGATTAAAAACGAGATGGGTCGGGTTTTGGATAGGGCAAGGTCTCTTGGGTTGGGCTTGAGGATTGGGTCAGGGATTTGGGTCTGTCTGGTCTGAAAAATAACTCAAAAATTGGGCCAGCTTTTAAATAAGAGATTAAAAAGGAAATAATTTAATAAAATAGTTAAATAAATATATAAAGAATTCTATTTATGCAAATTAATACTTTAAACAAGGATAGAAGATTATAAAAATGTAAAAATATCATTTTGACCCTGAATAAAATGACAAATGCAATAAAATACAAAATATAGGCAATTATTGCAAGATTGTGCAAATAGCCTAAGAATACCAATATAATTATATAAAATAAATTAAAAATATTTGAAACATGCATTATGGATGCAAATAATAATTTTAGATGATTAGATCATCACAAGAATAATTTAAAGGAATAATTAGTAAACATTCAGGTAATTTAAATGCAAGAAAATTAATTTTAGGCTCTAAGAATTGTGAAAAAATTAAAAACAAAATGCTTGTATAAATCTTGTAACTTAAATAGTGATGCAGAATGACATGTTAAAAAGATATATATACTATTTAAAAATATGAGGGCAAAATTGGGTATCCACAGCATGGACAGTACATGAAAATCTGGGAATAGTCCTAAATTCTGATTTTATGGCCCTCAAATGCCAAAAATGAGAAACGGTAATGGCGAAGCGATGAATACTATTCATTAGGTCATTTTTATGGGACTGTAAAATTTTAGGAGATTCGGGGTCGATTCATGCAGATGGCGTGGATTATAGCACACGAAAATCTAGGAATCATCCTGAATTCCTATTTTATGGCTCTAAAATGCCAAAAACGAGAAACGGTCATGAAGAAGCGATGACTATTATTCATGAGGTCATTTTGTATGGGCTCGCAAAATTTTAAGGAGATTCGGGGCCGGTCACCCGAATTCATGCAGATGGCGTGGATTATAGCACACGAAAATCTAGGAATCATCCTGAATTCCTATTTTATGGCTCTAAAATGCCAAAAACGAGAAACGGTCATGAAGAAGCGATGACTATTATTCATGAGGTCATTTTGTATGGGCTCGCAAAATTTTAAGGAGATTCGGGGCCGGTCACCCGAATTCATGCAGATGGCGTGGACTATAGCGCAAGAAAAATTAGGAATCTCCTTAATCCCTATTTTATGGCCCTAAAACACCAAAAAATAAGTAACGGTCGTGGAGAAGCTATGACTATTGTTCGTTAGGCCATTTTTTATGAGCCCACAAAATATTAGTAGATTCGGGGCCGGTCGCCTGAATTCATGCATAAGGTGTAGACTATAGCGCACAGAAATCTAGGAATAGTCCTGAATTCCTGTCTTATGGCCCTAAAACATCTAAAAATGAAAAACGGTCATGGAAAAATGATAATTCTTGTTCATTAGGTCATTATTGATGGGCCCGTACAATTTTAGTAGATTCAAGGTTGATCGCCCTAATTTATGCATGTAGCACACAAAAATCTAGGAATCGTCCTAAATTTCTGTTTTATGGCTCGAAAATGCCAAAACACGAGGAACGATCATGGCGAAGTGATGACTATTGTTCATTAGGTCATTTTTCACGGGCCCATAAAATTTTAAGAGATTCGGGGCTGGTGCCCGAATTCATGCAAATGGTGAGGTGTATAACATACAAAAATCTGGGAATCATCCAGAATTCCAGTTTTATGGCCTTAAAATGCTAAAATATGAGAAATTGTCATGGAGTGGACTATAGGGCACGAAAATCTGGAAATTGTCCTGAATTCCTGTTTTATGGCCCTAAAACGCCAAAAATGAGGAGCGGTCATAGAGAAAAGATGTGTATTATTCATTAGGTTATTTTTTATGGGCCTGTAAAATTTTAGGAGATTCGAGACCGGTCGCCCGAATTCATGCAGATTGCATGGAGTATCGCACATGAAAATCTGGGAATCATCCTGAATTCCTATTTTATGGCCCTAAAATGCCATAATGAGGAACGGTCATGACGTAGCGATGACTTTTATTCATTAGCTCATTTTTATGAGCTAGCAATATTTTCGTAGATTCGGGGCTGGTGCCCGAATTCATGCAGATGGTGTGGACTATGCCACACGAAAATCTCGTAATTGTTCTGAATTCTTATGTTGTGTTCCAAAACCACCGAAAAACGAGGAACAATCATGATAAAGCGATAACTACTGTTCATTAGGTCATTTTTTATGGGCCCGCAAAATTTTAGGAGATTCGGGCTGGTGCCCAAAATCATACATATGGCATGGAGTAGCACACGAAAATTTGAAAATCGCCCCTAATTCTATTTTTTGGTCCTAAAATACCAAAAAATGAGGAACGGTTATGCCGAAGCCATGACTATTGTCCATTAGGTCATTTTTTATGGCCCTGCAAAATATTAGGCAATTTGGATTTGGTAGTCCGGATTCATGCAGATGGCGTGGACAAAGCACACGAAATTTTGGAAATCTAAATTCCAATTTTTTGGCCCTAATATTCCAAAAAAGAGGAACAGTCATGCCGAAGCCATGACTATTGTTCATTAGGTCATTTTTTATGGTACCGCAAAATTTTAGGCGATTTGGATATGGTAAATTGGATTCATACAGATGACGTGGACTATATCACACGAACAATTGAAAATAAGCCCGAATTTTAGTTTTTTGGCCATAAAATACTAAAAAAGAGGAACGGTCATGTTGAACCACGACTTTTGCTCATTAGGTCATTTTTAATGGCCCCGTAAAATTTGAGGGGATTTGAATCCAGTAGACTGCATTCATAAAGATGGCGTGGATTATATCACACGAAAATTTAAAAATTAGCCTGAATTCTACTTTTTTGGCCCTACAATACCAAATAAACGAGGAACGGTCATGCCAAAGTCATGACTATTTTTCATTTGATCATTTTTATGGCCCTACAAAATATAAGGCTATTCGGATCCGGTAGCCCGTTCATGCAGATGGCGTGAACTATCGCACACGAAAATTTGAAAATCTCAATTTCAGTGTTTTGGCCCTAATATGTCAAAAATCGAACAACTGTCATGCCGAAGCCATAACTTCCATTTGTTATGTCATTTTTTATGTCCCCTAATATTTTTAGGCGATTCAGATTTGGTGGCCCGGATTCATGCAGATGGCGTGGATTATAATAGCTCACGAAAATTTAGAAATCAGTCTGAATTTCTATTTTTTAGCCCTAAAAGCCCAAAAATGAAGAACGGACATGCCAAAGTCATGACAATTGTTCGTTAGGTCATTTTTATGGTCCCAAAAATTTGAACGCAATTCGAATCCGGTAGACTGGACTCATGCAGATGGTGTTGACTATAGCACACAAAAATTTAAAAATCGTCCCAAATTCTAGTTTTTTGGCTCTAAAATACTAAAAACGAGGAACGGCCATGCCGTGTAAAGGATAATCCTAGACCAACTAGAATCTTGGTTAAAGTTATCTATTTGTTGTGGATTTAGGTTCCCTGTAGTATACGGACTTGTATTATATTGCTCTCTGTATGTCTATAGACTTAGGAGTCTTATACATCATGGAACTCCTTATAAATACTCTTGTTGTAATCACACATGATAAGTAGTGAATGAAAGAACTCTTTATAGTATCGGAGCCTTAAGTGGTTTAATCAACCCAAGGCAATTGTTTTTTCAGTAACAGAGAACGAAGACGTTATTGATATGGGGGATGATATCAACTCCTCGTCGACCTCTACTACACCAACCACGTACGCTCAATTTCCCACATCTCCTTTTATGCCATCACCAAATCTTGCGCATCAACTACCGGTAAAACTCACATCATCAAACTTCCTGTTGTGGAAGACACAGTTTATGCCAATGGTGTGTGGTTGTGGTCTCAACCATTATATTGATGGTAGCGAGCCAATTGCGACACGGTTTCTTGATCAGAATACTCTAAATCCAGCTTACAAAGTATGGGTACGAGAAGACCAACTTGTGCTAAGTTGGATTGTTGCATCAGTTTCTGAAAATATCCTGCCTCAATTAGTTGGAACAGAGATTGCTCGTGCAACGTGGGATAAACTTGTTGTTGCATATGCTTCAGGATCAAAGCACTAATTCGTGAACTCAAGATGCAGTTGCATACCTTGCGTCATGACAATGCAAGTATTGAGGCCTATGTACAAAAGGCCAAAGGAATCGCGGATAGATTAGTTTCATTACAACATCCGATTTCCAATGATGATTTAGTTGAATTTGTTCTTGCTAGACTAGGCCTTGTCTATCGTCCCTTCACCAGGTCACTAGAATCACGTCAAGAAGATATTATGTTTGATGCATTATATGGCCTTATCCTTAATGAAGAAAGACAGTTAAAAAGAGATGAGACCATTAATGTTATTGCACCCACCGCTCAGTTCACTCAGAGTTCTATTTATACCACTCGAGGGCATGGTAGAGGACGAGGAGGGCGTGGTCGCGGACGCTCCTCCATCCAGGGGTTCAGACAGAATAACCAAAATCGTAACTTTCAGGTATCCAATCAATCGACTAAAGATAATCAACAATCTTCTAACTACTCCGAACTTATCTGCCATAATTATGAAGGAAAAGGTCATATTGCACGTGTATGTCCTTCACCACGAGCTAACAATATCAGCATGGTGTCTGGCCGACCCACTTCTAATCTTATGAGTTCTCCCAATCCACCTACACAAACCTAGTTAATGGATAGTGGCACCACGCATTATCTCATAACAAAACTTGATAATCTAGGCATTCACTCTGAGTATCAAGGCCCCGAAGAAGTGACATTAGGTAATGATTCCAAATTGCCTATATCTCATGTTGGTAAAAGTTTTGTTCTTGTTTCCCATCAAAAGTTCAATCTTGATAATATTTTGCATGTTCCTTCTGCTATTCACAATTTATTATCTCTTTATGCCGAAACCATGACTATTGTTCATTAGGTCATTTTTTATGGCCCCGCAAAATTTTAGGCGATTCCGATCAGGTAGTCCGGATTCATGCAGATGGCATGGACTATAGCACACGAAAATTAAGAAATCGGCCTGAATTCTAATTTTTTGGCCCTAAAATGCCAAAAAAAAGGTACGGTCATATTGAAACCATGACTATTGTTCATTAGGTGATTTTTGATGGCCTCGCAAAACTTTAGGCAATTCGGATCCGATAGCTCGGATTCATGCATATGGTGTGCACTATAGCACACGAAAATTTAAAAATCAGTCTAAATTCCAGTTTCTTGGATCTCGAGGAATACGCCTATACCAAATAAATATCCTTAAGATGAATCCTTAGCACGTCTCAAACTGCAAAGATGTCCGTTTTTTTTAACAATTACTAGTAAGTGTCAATGTCGAACCCCTGTCACTACTTCTCCGGGGTTAGACCAGATACTTACTGGGCACGTATTGATTTACGTACTCATGCTACACTTGCTGCACTTATATATATATATATNCGAGCTGCATTTCCTGTTACAATCCGCAGCATACAGAGTTTCCATCAGAGTTATTTCCATTCTCCTGTCTAACTTGTATTCCAGACAGATGTTATATTTTATTATATTCCTAGTAGATGTTCATGCACTTGTGACACCGGATTTTGGGATATGCTAGTCGGCGTTAATAGTTTTGCTTTAATATTGTATGTGTACACGATTTTAATTATATTAAATCCCTTATTTAACCAAGTTTATGATTTCAAAAGTACTAAAATGAATAATTATTTGGATGATTCACCGTTGGCTTGCCTAACGGCGACGATGGGGTCATCACGGCCTATAGTGAATTTTGGGTCGTGACATAAATAATGAAGAATTTTATAAATAAACTTTAGTTAATTTTAAGGCACTAAATATTCGGAAAAGTAACATGAATTAGTTATAATTATGTTATGTAGTTGGAATAAAGAAAAATTTATATAAAGTAAAATTTGATTGATTATAAAGTCCTAAATTTTAGTATTTTCTACATAATTTAAATAAAAAAAGTTTAATAATCATATTTTAAAAACCTAAATATTAAAAAAAATTACAAGATTATCCAATATGAAATAGCATCATAATTGTTAAACATTAATTTTTTTCCTATTACCAAATTGGCAGTAGAAATGTTATCACGGATAAGTGGAGGGGTTATATTTGATTTCCTCCTCGAGAATGTGAATATACTAACGTACAAATTATGAAAATTTCTTCGTATGAAGTAAGTCATACGGTCATACCTATAAAATCTCGTCCATGAGGGAGAGATTAGTTTTTTGGTGATAATTCAAACTTTCCATATTTATATTACTAGTATTAGCACCCGTATGGATGCGCGAACACTAATCATGTCAAATATTTAAGTTATTTGGATTATAAGTTAATAATCTTAAAATTTAAACTTTCTCGGTAAATATAGATAATCATTGGATATTAATAAAAAATACTACATGAAAAATATTAACCATTTCTTCTATTTTTCCTTTTTGATATCACTCTCGCAGGTGTCATTGAATCCTAAAAACAGTCAGGAAGCAAAATAATAACTCATATTTATGGCAAAACAATCAAATGTTGAGACTATGAATGACTCTTTGGATACGACTTGCCTCTTTTACTACTACTTGAACTCTTATTTGGTGTGTTGATATCTCTTAAAAATATATTTTTATAAACAATTACAGTTTCTAAAATTTTATTTTTTAATAATTATTATTTTTATAATAATGTAAGTGAAAATATTATCATTAATTCAAAACTCATTTTAGTTGGCTATCTAAAAATTTAAAAAATTCTTTAGCCAGTGAATTTGTTTTTTTCCACTATGACTCCATTTTGATGTTTGACATTAATCATGTAAAATATCTGAGTTATTTGAATTATATGTAAATAAACTTAAAATTTAAACCTTCTAAATAATTATAGATAATCGTTAGATATTAATTAAAAACACTACATGAAAAAAGACTAACATTTTCTCAAATCTCGTAGTGATAATTTTATTTTTGTACTATTCTCATTGGGGTCATTGGAACATAAAAATAGCCACAAAGAGAAATAATAACTCTTATTTATGGCAAAGCACAAAGGCTGACACAATATAAACGATACTTTGATTATGACGTGACTCTTTTACTACGACTTGAACTCTTATTTGGTATGATATTATCTTTCAAAAAATATTTCTATTTTGAAATTCCAATTTCTAAAAATTTATATATATTTCAATAATCAGTATCTTTATAATGATGCAGGTGAAGATATTATCCTTAATTTAAAATTCAATTTAATCGGCTATCTAAAAATTTAAATGATTCTTTAGTTGGAATTTATTTTTCCAGTATGACTCCATTTTAAGTTTATCAATATATCTAGCCACAAATTTTGAATTTTTAATACCCTATATATACAAAAAATTTGTTCTTTGAATCATTAAATGTTAAATTAGTTGATTGTTATTATATAACATTGCATATATTGTCTTAAAATTACCAAGTAGTCTATAGTGTTTCGACACCATACTTGGCTTACCCTCAATGCAAACTACTCAAATTGCATTTAAATTCAAATACGAATATCATATCAGTTTGTTAGTAATAGTGATTTTTTAAAAACGACACACAATGTAAAAAAAAAATATATATATATTCTAAGATATCCTTATCTTATAATCTATGTATTTGAGTTGAAAATTGTCACGACCCGAAATTCTCTCCTTCGGACCGTGATGGCGCCTAACATTTCACTTACTAGGCAAGCCAATGTTAGAATAATATTAATAATTTTTTAAACTATTTTTAAATTATTAATAATCAAGGAAACAAAAGAGGAAGCAAAGTTTGTAACATAGTGAAATAATCCATAAAAATAACGGTGTCTAAATACCATCTCATAATTGGTGTCACAAGTGCACGAGCTTCTAGAATAAATAAAATAAAGGTCTGAATAAAATAAAGCTGTCTGGAAATAAACACACAGCTAAAATAAAATAGACGGAAACTTCAGAACTGCCGACGCCATGCAGTTATACCTCAAGTCTCCTCTGGTAGCTGAAATCCGAGCAAGTCTATTGTACGCCGCTGGGACCAACTCCAAAATCTGCACAAGAAGTGCAGAGTGTAGTATCAGTACAACCGACCCCATGTACTGGTAAGTGTTGAGTCTAACCTTGACGAAGTAGTGACGAGGCTAAGACGGTTCACTTACATTAACATGTACGCAATATTAATAACAACAACAAATAATAGAAATAAATCAGGTAACTCATTTATAATAATTGAAGCCAACCCAGCAGTCATAATTCATTATTATTTCAACCAATTCTGTTACAGCGTGCAACCCGCTCACACATTATATTCACATTCAATTCTGTTTCAGCGTACAACCCGCTCTCCCAATATTTTCCTTTTAATCAAGTTTGTCATATATTTATTTCAATCAAGTATATATATAGACTTTTAAATAAGTCTGTTGCGGCGTGCAATACGATCCCCCAATATTGACTTTTAATAAGTCTGTTACGGCGTGCAACCCGATCCTCCAATATGGACTTTTTAATAAGTCTGTTGTGGCGTACAACCCGATCCTCCAATATTGACTTTTAATAAATCTGTTGCGGCGTGCAACCCGATCCTCTAATATATCAATTTCAATCAATTCTTATAGAAGAAATTTCCCCAATAAATGTAACCATTAATATAAAATTATAAGACAACAAGCATGCAACAATTTTGATTTAATTATGAAACAAACAATGACAAATAGCAAATTATTATAGAACTCAGGGAGAACATAGGCAGTTTAATATTTAATATGCTAAATGTCAAATAACAATTAAAACACATAATTCAAATAGCATGTAACAATTAATACAAGAATTCAAGAATTAATATTTGATAAAGAATAGGAGAGAAATAATTATTATAATAATTAATTTATGATTTAAAATAATTTATGATTTTTCAAGTAAGCAGGCAAACAATTAATTTGACGACGTATAGACACTCGTCACCTCGCCTATACATCGTTCACATGCAATTCACATAACAAATAATTTAAGGGTTCTATTCCCTCAAGTCAAGGTTAACCACGACACTTACCTCGCTTTGTAAATTTCAATTAATTATTCAACCACGGCTTTTCCTTTTAAATTTTCCTTCGAAAGCTTTAAATCTATTCACAAATAATTCGATATATTCAATACTAATCATAGAAATTAATTCCATATGAATTTATAAATTTTTCGGATAAAAATCTGAAATTCATTTAAATATTCGACAGTGAGACCCACATCTCAAATTCCGAAAAAACTCGCGAAATCCGAACACCTGTTTCGATACGAGTTCAACCATACAAAAATTGTCCAATTCCGCTATCAAATGGACCTTCAAATCTAAATTTTTTATTTTTGGAAGATTTTAAAAAAATCTGATTTTTCTTCCACAAATTCACGGATTCATGATATAAACGAGTATGGAATCATAAAATATAATCAATATGGGGTAAGTGTTCGCATTAACTGAGCTCAAAACGACCAAAATGTGAAAATAATTTCGGACTCTTCGATATATACACTACCCAGGCATTTTCGCACCTGCGGTGCCTGGGCTCACACATGCGAGTTCGCATTTGCGAGAAACTCTCGCATCTGCAGAAAAGGGGCTGCCAGCATAAGTCCGCATCTGCGTGATTTGGTGTGCATTTGCGGACACGCTT